CTTGAAGAAGCGCACGAACAGGTAGCCGTCAATGGACTGGTGGTCGAGAATGTACTCGTCCTTGAGGTTCTTGAAGTCTTTTATCCATCCTAGGAAGCCTCCACTCGGCGCGGGTGTCTGTCGTTGCTGCCCCAGGTGGTTGAGATAGGTTCTCGGCGCATAGACTCGACGGAAGTATTTGCGCGCGATAAGGAAAGCGACGACGAAGGCGAGCGCAAGAATGGCAGTCGGCACCAGGGTGGAAACCAGACTGGAAAGGGAGTTGGAGGATTCTTTCTGGGCTTTGCCAACTTCACCACCCTTTGTTATGATTAGCGCGCGTTCATGTCAATGCTGTCGCGATAGTGGGGGAACTGACTGTAGACGACATGCTGGGCAACTAGGCAGTCGCGTGCCCGTGGGGTTGAGGAGGAGAAGCAGTGAAAGGAAGATGCTTTCTAGGAAATGAGGAGGCTCTAGGACTGCATACAAATAAACAGGACTGCGGGCGCTATACAAGGAGTCCACAAGCCCTAGTGTGACGTCGTGGTCAAAGCACACTCCACAAATCGGTCCTATCGCGCGACTCGAGCCAGTGCGCTAACGCCTTCAGCTTAGCTGCGCGCATCCAGCTTCTGGACCCTGACACTTCTCGTCGGCGTGCATCACCAGCCTCAATTGCTGAAGCCTTTTCACTACGTGGCGTTGCAGTGAATGCAGCTCGGCGTGGCCGTCGAGCGGGACTTTCCCACCACCCATGTCCGGCTCGAAACGCGTCTTCATGTGAAGGATGCGCGACAAGGGCCCAAGGAAATTACCGAGCTGGCGGAAAAGCAACCTTGTGATTCGCGACATGCGGCGCAAATCCAGTTGAGAGAACATTGCCAAGCTCCCAGCCTCGCTAGCGATCGCCCTGGAAGCGGTACGACAATTACGTCAATCGAGCCTTGTCCGCTGCCGGCTACCCCTTCTCCCTGTCAGGTGTCACCTTGTTTGAAAGCGACCGACGATACACGAACAAACACGGCACAGAACCGACTATGCGTTGTTGCGGTTAAGCAGCCGAAACTATGACGATGCCATCTCACCGTACTCTGTGCGCATCCTATCACCATGGACTACACACAGACACGACACAGACACAGAAAGCCTATTCTCCCCACCGCATCTGGATCCCGCAGTGATAGTCACAATTGATTGACACGCGCAGCCGCTCCTCGCACACAGCGGGAAGGATTGACAACTCCACACCCCCTGTGGGAACCGACGATCTAGATTGAAGCCACATCCCGTCTCACCACGTCTACGATCTCATCTGCGGCTGCAGCCAATCCCCTGGCCCCTCTTGTGATCTCCACCAACACCAGGTGACGCGCAATATCGACGGGATAGAATTTGAGTTTTTGTCTTTTCAGCTCGCTGCCCCTGTTTACACATGCGGGTACACGTGGCGCAGCTTCCAGACCCTGCGTTTTTCGCTGCACCGCCACACGTTCACACCAATCTTTTCCGCGGGGTGTGCGCAATCGTTCTTACGCGCTTGGGCTAGGTGCGCTGCGATTCACGGCCGTTCCAGAGGGATGATGCAATCGCAGAGGTTGTCTTCTAATCAAACCGCCGACTAGTTGGTATGTGCCATCGAGCCGTTGGCACTGCCGCCCGTCGATGGAAAGGTAGTATCGTCATTGTCTGCATCAGACGCACCAATGCCTGTCGTACTCACATGAGCCGATGATGAACCTTCTTTGTTCTTTCAGAGTTTGCTTCAATAGGACCGAACCAGCCGTTGATCTCTTCAGAAACCATAGATAGGCGATACGCGATATTAACCACCGAGCCCCCTGCCCACTTCGGCACTGCCGCTGCGAGATGGCTTATGGACGATGCAGCGCGCCGTAGACATGTGCTCACCACATGCAAGGAGAACAACGAGCATGACCTTCTGCAGACTATATCACAAAAGAGAGGGTAAATTTACGACAACCACGGTTAACGTAGGCGCCCATGTCCTCTAGGAACACGAACGATGCTCTTTTCGCGCCATCGCAGTAGGCAAGTAGGCCCCTCACTTCAACATTCGGGATACAACCATGGACCCTTCAGACAACAGAATGCAGCAGGCGACTATCGATCATGTGACAACGTTAGGTGCTAGATGAGGGCTAGCGCATATGTAGCATTGTGGCACAGCTGCGGGGACAACAACATGTGAGGACTGCGATGATATCACCGTGCCACTGCACATTTGCACGTCGCGATTTCAATCATGTCGCTTTGTAACGTTTGCAGGTCGATACCGTTTCGCAAAGTCATCACACGAGAGAAACATGATCACACGCTTGAAAGAGCTGGCTTTAGGTTCAACGCAGTTGGGCGAACATCGTCGATTCCTAACGACAATCTTCCTTGGAACGAGCGACGATGCACTATTGCAGAGATGGTGTCTCGCGCGAAGACATGCCCACTCTGCGCATACATCCTGCTGAAAATCAATCAAACGAGTTGGTGCACGACGTGGGAGAGGGGAAGAAACTCCTTCACATTGGAAACAATCAAGACTGTCGTTCCACAGAATCCCATGGTGTGGATGAGATTACCTGGCGCTAAGGAGTCGCATAAGCCCTTCCGAATCGCCTTAGGTACTCCACACTGTGTTGTAACTTCCTCTTGGTTGCTCGTCTACATAAGGTTACTATTTGGTAATTTTCATGCACGCTGAACAATGAGAAAATCCTAAACTGACTGGATAGTACAGACGACCCATTAAGGCGAATCTGCGACCTCACTAGTGTTGTTCTAAGAGAGACACTGCATCCTAAAACATTGGAACGTATGCTATCTTGGCTGGACAAATGTAACACTAGCCACTCCTGGTGCCATGATCGATCAATGCGACGAGTACCCCTGCCTACACGAGTCTTGGACGTGAGCATGCTTCCTGGACGAGAACAAATGCTCGGTATGCAGCAGCCATGGCGAGATCAACTTCGGGGTGAAAGTTGCAAGCTTCTGCAGACTTCCGAAGGTCAGACGGGTCTGTATGCGGCGTTGAGCTACTGCTGGGGCACCACCTTACCCTTGACGACGACTACAATCAATTTGAAGAACCACGAGTCTGGTATAGGCTTCAACAATCTACCGCGAACCTTACAAGACGCTGTTATGGTTGTACGATGTCTGGACATTGGATACATCTGGATTGATTGCTTATGCATCCTGCAAGACTCGAAGAGAGATTGGGAACACGAATCTGCACATATGGTAGATGTATACTCCAATTCATCTTTGACGGTAGCTGCTTCACGAGCAGAGCACTGTGGGGAGGGATTCCTTGGTCCTCGCGAACTAAATCCTCCATTATGTGTGAACATCAAAGACGAAGGAGACTCGTTCGATCTGTTCTTTCAAACAGCTCCCATGCCAGTTGACGAGGTTAGTTGAACTCCCTGAGTTTGGCATTGTTCAATTGAAATTTTCTAATACCTTTAGCCTTTGAATGGTCGTGGATGGGCTGGACAAGAAAAAGCACTCTCCCGTCGTGTCTTGAGCTTTGAGACTGGCGAAATAACCTGGAGATGCCACATGAGGAGTAAGAGCGAAGAGAAGTTGAGACCAGTTAACTGGGCGTACCTTCACGAAGCTTGCCACGGGGATACCATTGAGCAAATGGCACGTACGCTAAACCAACCTAAACGTTGCAAGCTTTATCAATGGAATGATTATATAGAAGATCATACCTTACGCGAAGTGAGCTTCAACAAAGACACCTTTCCAGCGATGGCTGGCGTTGTTCGAAAAGTACAAGAAGCCACCGGGGCCACATATTACGCCGGCTTATGGAAATCGCACTTTCTTGACGGCCTCCTATGGCACTTTTATCCGCTGTGGTACTACCTTCCGGACCAGTGGTCTCTCATCCCAGAGGAAAGAAGAGGAGAGAAACGACGAGGTCTTAGGAAACGGCAGGTATGGACTGCACCGTCGTGGTCGTGGGCATCTGTCAAAGGAATCATTTGTCACGATTATCAAGACAGCCTCGAGGCTAACTTCATGTGGGTCGATTATTGTGCCCATCTCGAAGAGTGCAACATCACTCACAGAGGCTTGGACCCCTTTGGCGAAATTACAGCTGGGTTCGCCCGCATCAGAGGACCGTTAACTCTGGTCACACAGGTCAAAGCTGACACAGATACGGTACAGTATCCATCGTGTAAGCTTCAGCTCAGAAACGGCGCACTGGTCAATGCTTTTGCTATGTTTGACTCTGTCGACTACAGATCCTGTAGTGTGATGATGATTACCGGCCACATAGGCATATGCATCGAGAAGGTCGAGGGAACGACGGATACATATACTAGGGTTGGCACTGTTGAGATCAAGAGGAAATATCGAGGCCCCGGGAGGGATACTGGCGATGACGATGAGTATACTATCTACAAACCGAGGTCGATTCTCACTGCTGCGGATCATCTCCCAGCACGTACTATCACTTTGGTTTAGTTCTCGTCAACTCCAGCTCGTATTGAAGTGGTATCGTCCATCAGGGTCCGTCTTACTACCTCTGAAGATTATACACCACCTTCGACGATAGTGATTGCTGCTATTACTCCCCCGGTACGATCACGTCAGTCTTTCCGGTCAAAACAGCAAACGAGACTTGAGTAGCGCGTGCCCCGCAATCGTTGACTGGATCGAGTATATACCGACGATACCCTCACCGCAGCGCGTCGCAGTGCAAACGCTCTAGACGGCTCTGATTCGTCGTCCACTCACCTTTACTTCGAGATGTCAGTCACGCTACTATCGCTACTTCCGCAACCCCCTCTCCTAGGTTTTTTGATACCCTCTTTCGCTTTATTAGCACGCCTTCCAACTCCTCTCACGCTATCAAAATCTCGCTTTTGATCACCACCGCACGGCCAGTTTGCTACCACTCCCTGCGACATTCCTCTCCGCACGAGGATCACCGCCCATCCACTCGCCTTCCATCAACAATTACAACCCCCGAATTCCCCAACAACATGCCCCCGCCGAATCCCCCACCCTACGACACGTCCATATTCGGTACATACCTCCCACTCTCAGCGCGCCACGGCGTCCAGGCAGCCCGTCGTCTGCCGCACAACTCCGGCCCCGTACGTCCACCCTACCTCGATGCAGTCGTAGGCGTCTCAGTCCACTAACAACAACCAGATGTTCAACCCCCACACCCGGATCAACGAAGCAATCAATTCACTATGCGCATTCCGCCACTCCATGTCCGAGCTCGAGACCCAGCACCGCAGCGCTCTCGAGACTAAAGACGCTGAAATGGCAACCCTCCAGCAGCGCTTCAACGGACTAAACACACTACATCGTTCTACCAAGGCTCGAATCGACGACAAAGTCCTATTGCAGGGCAAACTGCAAAACGACATGAAGATACTGAAGCGGGAACTCGCGGCTGAGAAGGCAAAGAAGGGTATTGTTGACGAGGATATGGAAAAACGGTTGGGAGAGTTGCGACAGGAGAATGGCTTGTTGACTGCGAAGGTGGCGGGACTGGAGAAGGAGCTTGCGGATGAGAGGGCGAGGGGGAAGGAGAATAGGGATGCGAAGAGGGAGTTGGAGGTTATGAAGACGAAGTTGGCGGATATGGTTAAGGGGGAGAAGGTTAAAATTGAGGTTGTTGAGTAGGGGGTGATTAGGGGTTTGGTGGGCTTGGGGGATGGATGTGAGGATATATCGTGTAGGTTCATGGATGCGATGAATGGGCTTGTTAGGAGTTGGTCTGGGGTATTTGCATGCACTGTTGCATCAAATCTTGGTCTCAAAGACTTTCTAATGTATTACGTGTGTTGATCACCACCTTGTTGTAGAAGTGCTTCTCGCCGTTGTCTCATTCTCGTCTCTTCCATCTCCAACCACTCTACCTCCCTTTTTCGCTGCGCCTCCACATGTGGCGAGACTTGTGACGTCGAATTGTTCGTTCCCGGGACTGGTATCATCTCCGCGTTCCTGCTATCACCTCCATCGTCCCTTCGGACCGCCCCAGCCTCATCCGCTCGCCCATGCTCTTCTATCCCATTATACGGCAACTCTCCCGGTTGATCCTCAGCTCTGAGCTCGTGCGCTCCTCCCATCGCGTATTTGTACGAATGCGAGCGATCTAGTTCTTGAGTGAGGCCGTTGCCTGACATCTCTTGGTATTGCGTTTGGTATGCGCCAGCCGTAGGGGCGGACTGATCTGCACCCAAGACCATCTTATCGCCGTCGCCTTCTCGTCTTGCTAGTTCGTCGTCGGTGAGGGTGGTCGTGGGTGGTTGCGCCCTCCGCTTTTTGCGCCGCCAGAAATACCATCCGCCTATTATGAAGGCGAGAACGGCGATGCCTCCTATTGCTATGCCGGCAATTGCGCCACCACCTATGCCTCGCTTGGAAGTGCCGTTTCGGCTGGGTCTAGGGCGTGAGGTTCCAATTTGAGTAAAAAGAGTTGGCTCCAAGGTTTCTTGTTGAGGATGCCGGAACTGATGGCGGGTTTGTAGGTTTCGAATCGACAGTGAATAAAATTGCCTGGTAGGGACTTGTTTGGAGAGAAAGAATGAGTCCATCTATTGTTTTAGCTGGTTCCCCTCCTGTTATCGTAATGGACGGTAAACGGGGGTCACTGGAGAGTAGTTGAAGTCGAAGCGAAGGTGATGGTTCTACCATGATGGTCGGGAGCTGTGAGCCACTCCAGGATAGAACTGTCGGATACTCAAATGAGTCAACCGCTGTGTCCCACAGCTTGACAATTGTTGCGGTGGACCATGTTGTTCCAGAGGCTTGGTCCGTCATTATCGGTAGTTATGCAGTGTCACAGGGACTACGCTATGTGGTCGCTGCCCGTAACACAGAATGAGATCAATCCACGGATATGCGAGTGTACCTAGGTAAATATGACGGGGGTCAAAAGACGTAGCTAGATAGCAACGGAGAATCATCTGCTTTGGCATCATGCACAACGCTCTAGGATATATGCCTGTGACAGGACCGCGTCGTGGGTACAGCCTGAATGGGGCTATCAGCGCACAACCTTGGAACAGTTGGAACCATCAATTTATAGATTGTGTGCCGTATGTAGTTTAGCGGCTACCCTTCTGAGCGTAGGCTAAATGTGGTACTGGCTGTGCATGTCGTCTATTCGCTAGATGGCCTTTTCGCCCTCAACCCCATCAATCTCAGCGAACGTTGATTCGGCATGCTGAGACTGGCACGGGCTGTGCCGTGCAGGGCGAAAACGCAGCTTACATTGACATCGGTCAACCCACTCGATGTTTCATGCCCCGACAAAGTCAGCCACAACGCCTCCAAGGCTACTTCTCCTTTTTGAGCTCGGCAACTGCGCGCAACGGTCTCCGCCACCAAGCCTCGCGACGTTCACACATCTTCACACCAAACCACTATTCCGCGCACGATCTCATAATCGTTCTGTCGAACCTTGGGAACTCTCCCCATTTGCTTCCGTATCGTTCATCTCCTTCGCTGGCGTCACAAGAACATTCATTCAGCCTCTCTGCTCCCATCAACCTTCCCACCCCCTTGCATCAAAAGTGTCGCCTGTCTCTTCCGTATTCTTTCCTCTTCCATCTTTAGCCATTCAAGCTCTCTCCTTCTCTGCGCTTCTATATGTGGCGAGGTATGCGAAGCAGTATTATCGTTTGCCGGCACTGGTATCTCCACTTCCCCTTCATCTGTCGCCTCAGTTACTCCAGCAAGTGGTAATTCCCCCGGTATATCATCAGACCCGATCTCATGTGCTATATATCTGTGCGACTGCGAGCGGGACAGTTCCTGCGCGCGACTATCGCCAGACATCTCTTGGCGAGCGCCGAATGTCGATGCATCGTACTGCGGATCAGGAAGACTCTTCTCATCATCTTGTTCTGCTCGTTCGTCGGCTTCATGTGCGTTTTTGCTTGTCGTAGACTGTATGCGCCTTCTTCGGCGCCAGAAGTACCAGCCACCTATGATAAGGGCGAGGATAACAAGTCCGCCTATAGCTATGCCGGCGATTGCGCCGCCACTTAGTCCCTGACTCCTAGTGTTGATATCCGCTGCGGCTGTAGTATATTGAGTCCCATTGTCGGATTGTATCGCACTCGCGCTGCCTTCAGAACCCGAAGCTTCCGAGTCCGTTGTCGCATCAGTTGCTGAAGTTGTTTGACTCTCTCCAACATTTGTGGAACTTGGTGCTGAGATCTCCACCGGCGTTGATTGCGTCGTTGTTTCGACAGCACTCGTCTCATAAACACCTTGTCCAAAAGGGTCACGACGGAAGGCTATCACTGTCCGATCTGTCGCTAAAGAGAATTCACATCCGGATACGCGATAGGTTTTGTCTGCCTTCGTCATGGTCTGAAGATCAGGCGGAAGGCTGATACCATATTGATGGGGAAACATGACCAGCGTCATGTATATGGGCCCTAGTTCGGGTGGCTCTGTAAAGAACAACTTTGTTGTTATAGTTGTGTCGGCGGAATCCCAGACATCGACGCTGCGCCAGCCGTATGTATTTTTTGGTGGGCCGGTTATTGCGGGCGCGTCTGTCGTTGTGGGTGCCTCTGTCGTCGTAGGTGCGTCTATCACTATGGATGTGACTATCACTATGGATGTTTCTGTCATTGTGGATGGGTCTGCCATTGTGGATGGGGTGCGTGGGACCGAGGAGTTGGGCGGATGGAAATCGAAGACCCTTCGAATTGTCGGGAGTTAATGCGCGAAATATCACGTATAATGAGATCAGACGACAGGCCATGTGACTCTAAAGAGTTCCCTGGCATTAATACATCACCGCAAGTACTTCTCAACAGCGAGCGGGGTACCTCAATCCATCGCCCCCAATCCTAAGCAATCCCTTCCTTCTCGCGATAGGCCAATAGGTCAAAGAGACAAAGGTACCCACTTATCTACACGTCGAAATTGATGCATCGGGCCTTTCCTACAGGTCGTGTGACGCAGTATCGAATCAAACATCGGGACTGTGTTTGCGGCACAGTCAAGCGAGCAAGGCTGTGCATGGTGGATGGACTTCTCATTCGACGAGCTATCCTATGTACCGGAATGATCAGACCTTTGTCGTCATTTCAATGCAAGCTGTAGTGATGGATTCAGAGGTCGCAGTTTCGGTCGCAGATACGTGTTGGGAGCTTTTGCACTCGGTGCGATGCTTCGGCAGACAGTAGATTTGAGGTTTTCTGGACTTTGAGCATAGAGAGACATATGGGCACTTTTAATTTGTGCTTGAGTTTCTTTCAAAATCAGCTAAGTAGAGGTTTTGCTGTGCCTACACTATCAATTCTTCGCACCGCTTTGCGCCGCAAGCAACTCTCGCCGCTTCCGCATCCTTTCCTCCTCCATCTCTAGCCATTCCATCTCTCTCCGCCGTTGCGCTTCGACATTAGATGAGAGTGAATTGTTTGTCGCCTCAGTCGTATCCGTCATCTCCGTCATCTCAGCAGCGGGTCGTTGCGGGGCGTGATAAGGGACTCGCGTAGTGTATTCGTCGGGACCGTTCAACAGCTCAGCCGGCTCAGACTCGGTCTTCAGCTCATGAGATCCATTCATCGCGTATTTGGTGTACTGTGTAGGATCCAGCTCTTGCGTTTCCACCTGACGACTCCCCGGCATCTCTTGTGGGCGCTCCTTTGTATCGAGTTCTGGGATGCCTCCGTCTCCGCCTCCGTCTCCTGCAATGTGCGCACTAATCTCAGTGCTCGTGACCTTCCCTCTCGTGCGTTTTCTTCGCCGCCAGAAGAACCATCCACCGATGAGCGCGATAACGAGGACGGCTGCAATAGCTATTCCAGCGATTGCGCCGCCTCCTAGCCCTGAACTACCGCTGCCGTTGTCCTGTGGCGCCGCTGTCGGCACATTGCCATCCGATGGCTGCGAAGTTGATGTTGTACCGTCGTTGCTTTCCGTGCTCGAGGCCAGTGAGTTTGTGGTTGAACTGCGAGGTGTGTCGAAACCTGTCGAAGAAGGATAGAGAGCAGTCCCAACCGCAGATGTAATTTGCTGGAGAGTGGAAGATTGAATCGACGCGGTGTCAGATGTGACCTGGGAGATGATCGAGTCAACCTGGCGCCTATCAACGTATGCTCCTCTCATTTCGAGCCGGATCCGCTTTCCCGAGTCGAGATATGAGCGATTTGTGCTGATAGCGGGTTTAGCAGAAGTGACGAGCTCTGCAATTTCCAGTATAAAGGCAAAAGAAAGTCAGGCGCGGTGTACCAGCAATCAAACCAGGCGATTCGGGGCGGGCTTAATGGTAGAACAAGTGCGGAAGCGGTCCCTCCCAGCATACCAAGCCACTCCAAACAAACACAGCCAGGGTAGAAAACCTTGAAGTATCTCTTTACAAGCTTGGAACGTTCTTCCTTTACGATAGGCCAAAGATACATGGTCCCGCAGCGAAATGCGCGTGATGGAGCAAGGATCGGTCCTTTCATAGCGCTTGTGTGACTTGTCGGCGAATCAACGGTGATGCCGTGATTGCGGCACAGCAAGACTGTGCATGGTGGACTGGTATCTGGCTCAGCGCAGGATATCGTTCCAGGGATCGGGTACCTCTCTGTAAACAGAATACCGCATATTCTTTATGTTGAGTCTTGTCCACCACATCGATGACACCCCTGTGCCTGTGTCACTCGTTAGCA